ATGATTTATTGGGGGCAGAAAGTGGAAAGGTACAATTGGGATTACAGGAGAAACACGAGACAACAATCTTGGAAATGTAGGATCTTTTAAGAAATTAGAACTATTTTGTATTATTTAATTCAAGAATATCATACCCCCGATTTGGGCTTGTCATCATCATTTTAGAATGGCAAAGGTGGAGCCCAGCCTCTATCAAGGAGGCACAAAGGGTATTCGAACTCCCAACTTCTGGTTTTGCAGCCAGATACTTAAACCACTGAGTTCTGGGTGTGCATGGATCTTTGTCTGCATTTACACGCATGTAAATTCAACGATTAAAAAACCAACCAAGCATGGGTTTGATACCCGAGTGAAGGTTATCTTTTATTGGTTCGTGTAATACAAATCCAGAAAACTGTAAAACTAAGGCGGATGCCTTCACAGCTGAGCCCACAAAGGAATCCGTTGTCCCCTGCCTCTGATTGTGGTTGCTTAAAACTTCCCCCACTGTGTAGCCACACTTGATGTGGGTCTTTCAAGGCCAGGTCCGTAGGGGGAGGGAGAGAGCCGGCGCCTAGAGGAACGGCAAAAGGCATTCCATCTTATCCTGCGGCTGGGTGGACCTCTTTCTTCTGAGCCTGGCTGGGTTGCTAGAGCAGGAATCGGTGGACCGCAGGTGGCCTTCCAGCCCCCTACCTCCCCCCAAAACCCACCCAGTGGGGGGGGGGAACAGTTCCTTCCTCCCTGCTCCAGTTGTCGGTACTGCATGCCATCGATTCTGACTTAAAGACCTTTAATAATAATTGCATGCCATCGATTCTGACTGTGGACAAATCTTTTCTAGGTGCAGAATGCTCAGACGTGGCTTATTCTTCTTTCGGAGTTGTGCCCTTACCCAGTTTGGCTCCTCTCTGGGCACCATGAGGAATCCAAGCTCCACAGCCTTCCACACGAATCTCTCTCCTTCACTAAGCCCTGGCATCCTCTTCCAAGATCTTTCCTCAAAACGCCACACACACACACCCCAGAAAATCTAGGCCTTGCTATCTGGGAACTTCCTGTTTGTTTTTTTAATATCCATTTCTGGCCAAATCCAGGGTAATGATGGCCCTCCGCACATTTGAATTCAAGCCATTATGGTGCCAGTAATAAGAAATGACTAGAATAATGGAGCTCAAAGGCCACTGAATCCAACCCTCTGCTCAGTGCAGGAATGCAGATCAAGGTATATCTGCCAGGGGACGATCCAGGTTTTTCTTGAATAGCTTCCGTGTTGGAGCCCTCACCAACTCCCGAGGTCACTGGGTCCATGGTCCTACTTCGTACTGCTCTAACAATTAAGAAGTTTTTCCTGATCGTCCACCAAAATCCGGCTTCCGGCAACTTGAGCCAATTAATTGTTCCATGTCCTGCACTCTGGGATACATCAAGAAGAGATCCTGTCCTTCCTCTGTATGACTCCTTTTCAAGTATATGAAAAGAGCTATCGTATCTCCCTTCAGTTTTATTTTTTCAATGCTAAACATGTCCAGTTTTCCCTCTATCCTCACAGGGCTCAGTTTCCAGATCATCCTTGTTGTCTTCCTCTGAATTCTCAAAGCAGGCTTTGAAAATAATGCATCTATTTTACAGATTTTTAAGAGGCACCATTAATAAATAGGTGTACTGTATCTTGGTGATGTGTGATAGGGACTCTCACAGTTTTGTTTAGGAATATTTGTAATCTGAACACCTCTGACTTTCTTTAATGCATTCAGAGCTACTTACATAGAGAAAAACAGTAAAAGTAAAATATACAAATGCCCTGGCGAGGGTCACCATAATTCTGAATTAACCTGACAACATGTAATTATTTATTATCCATCTCAAAACCCCTAATATGGAGAGTCGGTGTGGTGTAGTGACAGATCATGACTCAGGAGATGTGGGTTCAAATCCTTGCTCAACCAGGGACGTTCACCAGGATGTGGGTGTGTGGCAATGCTAAATGACCACCTGAAGGTCTTGTATACCTTGAAAACCCTTTTAAGTTGTAGGGATTACTAAATGTGGATCCCATGCATTCTGTGTTCTAATCATCCCTTTAAGAAAAAGATGTAAAATTGCAAAAGATGTAAAAAAAAACAAACAATTTTTTCCCTTTATAATAGGATCAACCAAATCATTAAAAAAAGAGAGAAAATGGGAGGACATAGCAGGAGAAAATTTTATTTCTTCAGTCCATGTGCTATTACATGTTTATGGCAGTATCTGAAAATCAGCGGAAATCTCGGCAGCGAGTTGAAAAAAGTATGTGTGGGCTTTCAGTTATTTATTTAAAATACTTATACTTCACTTTTTTCTTCACAAGGGGACGTAAGGCAGCTTACAACTGTAGAAACAAACTATTATAAAAACTAGGAAGTCAGAAAAAAGAAGAAAGGAAAAAAGAGGAGCCCAACTCTTAGGCTGCCTGATAGGAAATGTCCTTGCCTGAAATGGTGGGCTGAATGGCATGGCTTGATATACAACAGCAAAACATCATCATCATCATCATCATCTTAGAGCTGCAGAGCTGGAGGGAACCCTATGAATCATTGTGTCCTAGCTCTGTCAAGGAGACACAGTGGGGAATCGAACTCTGCAGCCAAACCACTGAGCTATCCAGCAGATGTATTCGCTTCTTAACTTGCAGTAGATCAGCGCCAATGTTTATGACGACTGTGCTATGCCAGTGGTGTTAATCTTGTCCTTTGTTTAGTCTTCTTTTTCTCTTTGAACAGTGAACTATTATACTTATCACAGGTAGACTGCAACTCCTTATAAGCAGGGATTTTGGGGTTTCATAGACTAGGAATCCCATAGTTCCCCATCCTGGGAGTTCTACCTGACTTACCAACCCCCAAAGGTGGTTCACCTGGGAGAACGGCCTCACCGGTAAAGGATTTGAGCCTTAGCTAGGCCTAGCTTCCTGTTAGAAAGCAAGCTCCCAGCTAGCATTTGGCAGGAACAGGAAGCTTGAGTGGATTTAGGCCTGGGCAAGCCCCAAAGCCATTCAAGTTTAGGCCATTTCTCTCAGGCGAGCTACATTTAGGTGTGCATAAGTCAGCTAGGGTGGACGTGGTGGCGCTGCGGGTTAAACCGCAGAAGCCTCTGGGCTGCAAGGTCAAAAGATCAGCAGTTCGAATCCACGCAATGGAGGGAGCTCCCTTGTCCCAGCTCCTGTCAACCTAGCAGTTCAAAAGTAAAAATGCAAGTAGACAAATAGGTACCACCACAGTGGGAAGGTCATGGCATTCTGTGTCTGGTCGCGCTGGCCACGTGACCACAGAAACTGTGTACGGACAAACGCTGGCTCTATGGCTTGGAAACAGGGATGAGCACCACCCCCTAAAGTCGGACACGACTGGACTAAATGTCAAGGGGAACCTTGACATTAAAAAAAACGGCGTTCCCTAGTCACGCTGGCCATGTGACCACGGAAACTGTCTACGGACAAACGCTGGCTCTATGGCTTGAAAAGTGGGATGAGCACCGCCCCCTAGAGTTGGACACAACTGGACTAAAAATGTCAAGGGGAACCTTTACCTTTACCTTTTAAGTCAGCTAAAACTCCCAGAATAGGGAATAATAGGATTTATACTTTGAGAAATTAAAAAAACAAACCCATCCCTATCTAGTTTCAAAAATAGTTTATGTGGTATAACAAGGTCCGAGGAAACCCCAGGAGTCCAGAAAGATCCTGAATCTCGGCAGACACGGCCAATCCACGCAAAGAGAATTTATTGAGAAAATTGTAAAGACAGCAAAGGATGGACTGAGGAAAACGAAGAAACTCCGAAAGCACATGAATTACACCAGGAAGACGGTCTCTTAACTGAGGGGAACAAAAATCACGGTGACAGTGGAGACCGTTCCATTTCTCTTCGCGTTCAACAGCAACATTTCTCTATCTATCGACACGAGCAGACACAGGCAGACGTTTTGTACCCTCAACTCTCTTAAATATTCCGACATTTGTTTTCCTCTCCCACCAACCTCATATTAAGCCTTTCATTAAAAAAAAAAAACCAAATCCCGAAGAGATTTATGCTGCAGGACCAGCTAACTACAGGCAGATCGGGGAGACAGGAGAAAAATCCAGTGCTGGATTGGTATCTCTTCCCTTCAGGATCCCAGTTTCCAAAAAAGGAAAAGAAAACAAACAGAAAAAAAAAACAACCCACTATCCTACAGACATGCAGAGTGAAATAAATGGCTGGTTTGCAATCTACATTTATTTGTCTCAAAGAGCTAGGAATGTTCTTGACTGGGAGGAATCGTCATGAAATCTCCAGGCATGGATCCTTCAGCATCTGAAACAGAAAGAAAGACGGATGTAGCAGAGACAGGAGACAAGACAGACCGCATCTCCTCTCCCCTTTTGCAGCCTACCTGTCTGGTTACCGTTTATTCCGTCAGCCCAAAGAAGGGGACATAATCCATGAAAGCTCACATTCAAATAAAATAGGTAGTCTTTCAGGCGCCACATGTTTTTTCATTCCTTTTTTTCCCCTTCCTTTCTTCTTTTTCTCCATTGGATTTTACCTGTCTTGCTGTCCTAACACTCTTCAAAGCTTTTTCGTGTATTTTGTTGCCTTTGGTGTTAAAATAAACGTCTCGGTTCTTTCTCATTGGCATGAGTACAACTGGACTGCAGCATCTGTGGGAGATCTCCCCCCCCGCCCCTCCCCTGCCAGAGGATGCTGAAAACTGTGGAAATAGAGAATGCTACACATAACATTGCCTCTGGCTCCTTCTAGTGGCTTGTTCTTCTAAATGCACCGTGGTTTTTCATGTAATAGAGGGACGTGGTGTAATATTGCCAGGCAGTGGATAAGTGAATCCACGGATGATGATCGCACGGATTGGGGAGGGCCTACTGTAATTGCATCATCCCTCTGTAAAGGTACAGGCATAGTTCACTGATAGTGCTTAGCCGCAGAGATTGTTATTTTAAGCAAGTGTCTCCTGTGATGTACACACACATCTAAAAACAAAGAATACTGTTTATCAGAAGTATTGAGTCTCTCTATGGGGACGCCTTTCTCTCTGTCCTGCCACCTTCACAGGTGCATCTGATGGGGACACTGGGAGAGGTCGTTCTCTGTGGCTGCTTCCAGACTTTGGAACTCCCTCCCACTGGAGGCCAGGCTGGCCCCATCTTTGCTGTCCTTCCGCAACCATTTTCTCTTCAGGCTTTTCCTCAGTTACAGACTGTCTGGGAGAGATTTTAAAACAAGATGTTTTGCCTTTTGTTGCTTCTAAATTTGTTTTAATAATGCTTTACCTAATGTCCTTAATAGGCAGCGGGACTAGATGGGCCCTCGGCCTGATCCAGCAGGGTTCTTCTTATGTTCTTAATGTTATTAATTTGTTTAATATTAGAAAAAAAATGTTGTTTTTAGATTTAATATTAACATACGCTGCCTTGGGTCCTTTCTTAGAAGAAAAGCCTGGTAAAAATAATGGAGAGTCAGGGAATGAGATGATCCCACATCTCTGTCGCCGTTCTATGCCGTCTGAGCTCTGATCGAATGGAGCTTCACTTCTCTACTTCTTGGACACTGACCAGGCAGAGATGGCATTCAGTCAATGATTCCCGGTACACGAGTGGGTGGGTTTTGTGTATTGACGGCAAGACCTGTGCATTGGTGTAGATTTCTGTGACAAGATGGTGTACATGTGCGGTGTGTTTATGAAGTAAAACATGAACTCGTCCAAGTGGGAGATGATACGGAGATGATATAGATTGGGGGTTGGTAAATTTGAGAGCTTTCACGAATTATAAACTAAGACGAGACAGTGAGAGAAAGAGAGAGAAAAAAAGAAAGACATAAAGACTAACTAGTATATTTTAATGTGAGCTTTCATGGACAATCTCACGTCCTCAGACTTGTCCACAAAAACTCTTATTAAAATATAGCAATTAGTTTTTAAAGATGCCACAATGTTTGTTTCTCTCTCTTTTTTGAAAACTATAAAGAAGGATAACAACGATGGACCTTGATGAGAGGGACAGAGGTCTCGTCATATCCCACAAGCAAATGGTTCCCAACTTTGCTGAATCCAGAAAGCCCAGCTAGCACAACAGGTGGTGAAGGCTTCTGGGAACTGCAGTCAAAGAACACCTGGCTGTCCCGATGCCTTAAGCCCAAACCAAACTTGCTTACAGCGTCTATTAACAGGTAAAAACACACACAATGGCCACACCATGGAGAAATAATTTTGGTTCCCACCTCTGTGGATTCCTTGGTAGGAAGGAAGCTGTGTGGTGTCCGTGAAACTCTTTTCGCCATCCAAGCATTTAAACAGTATCTCTCCAGTGTGGATCGTCTGGTGGAAATCGAGGTGCGCTCTCTTACTAAAGCTCGTCCCGCACTCGGAGCACTTAAAGGACTTCTCTGCCACGTGAACTCTCTGGTGGCAAGCGAGGGCTGCCCGGCGCCTGAAGTTCTTCCCACACTCCAAGCATTTGAAGGGTTTCTCCCCCGTGTGGATCTTCAGGTGAGCGCTGAGGCTCTGGCTCTGGCGGAAGCTCTTCCCGCACTCCCAGCACTCGAACGGCTTCTGCCCTGTGTGGATTCGCACGTGGGACGCAAGATGGGTCCTCTGGCTGAAGCTCTTCCCGCATTCTAGGCATGTAAATGGTTTCTGGCCCGTGTGGGTCCTCATGTGGGAAGTCAGGCTGGTGCTCTGACGGAAGCTCTTCCCGCACTCGGAGCATTTGAACGGCTTCTCCCCGGTGTGGATCCTCTGGTGGGCGCTCAGAGTGCTCCGGTCGCTGAAGCTCCTTCCGCACTCGGAGCACTTGAACGGTTTGTCCCCCGTGTGGATCCTCTGGTGGGAGGTCAGGTTAGTGCTATGGCTGAAGCTCTTCCCACACTCCAGGCATTTGAAGGGTTTCTCCCCTGTATGGATCCTCATGTGAGAAATCAGGCTGGCACTGTCCCGGAAACTGCTTTCGCATTTCGAACACTTGAACGGCTTCTCCCCAGTGTGGATCCTCACGTGGGAAACAAGGTGGGTGCTCCGACTGTAGCTCTTCCCGCATTCCAGGCATTTAAAGGGTTTCTCCCCCGTGTGCATCCGCTGATGGGTCACGAGGGTGCTTTTGTGGCTAAAACTCTTTCCGCACTCCAAGCATTTAAAGAGTTTTTCCACCCCTTGGGCTCTCTGCTGGGAAGCGAGGCCGCTTTTCCCGTTGGCGTTCTTGCCATATTCCAAATAGCGTTTCCCCTTAGTATCGATGAAGCCTCCGAAACACACCTTGTGGAGTTCTTCCTCCGTTCTGTTCTCTCTCCCGTCAGGAGCTGGAAAGTGGTAAACAAAATCAAATACAAACGGAACAGGAGAAGACACCCACTCACTGTAACAGAAGAAATACCTTACAAAATGCCCTCTCTGGGCTAACTAACAAATCTACACAAACTGAAATAGGAGAACAGCAAGAGATGTCTCTGCCCCAGGCATTCTTGGGTGGTATTTATTGTATTTTGATTCACATATAGCTTAATTTTTTTTAATATTCAACTTATTCTATTTTTAATTCTATGTTTTTTTCCAAAAACATTTTTATTCCACCAGGCCTTTCAAAATCTAAGGCCCCTGAGAATCTCAGACTGTTACCCAATTGCCGCCTGTTCTTCGTTAAATGTTCATTATTCAGTTTAATTTGTTAGTTCCATGCACTTGATTAGGCCATGTTCGTTTTTTGTTACTGTTATTGTCAGGTGGGCGGGAAAAAACTAAAGTAAAATAATCAATCAATCAATTCTCTTTTATATTGGGAGCCATCTTGGGTTCCCTTACTGGGGGAAAAAGAGCCTATAGAGAAAGCAAACAAATAATAGTCACGTGACAGGCCGGGCCCTCCCAAGAGTGCAGAACACTGGGAATGGTAAATATCTATTTATTATTAGGGATGTGGTGGTGCTGTGGGTTAAACCGCAGAAGCCTCTGTGCT